AACCAGGAGTTGTTGGCGGCGGCGTGTGGGTGGTGGTGCGGTTGTGTCTGTTATGTGGTCTGTGGTGGCTGTGGTATGTTGTTGTGTTGTGGCGACTGTGTGTGGTTGCTGTGTGAGTGTGTGGGGCTGCACGGGCGGACTATGGGTTTGCTGTGGAGGCTGCTCTGTTTGAGCAACAGGGGGCCACGTACGACGTGGTCCACTGTCTGTGTGTCCGTAGTCCCGAGCAGACCCTGAGGTGACTCCACCCCTCGCAGGCATTACACTTGACTGAGGTGGAGTTGTGGTGTAATCGTCTTCGGCATACACAGCAGGTGTATATTTCTGGCCCAGGGTTTGACTCGATGCCAGCCCTGAGTAGGAGAATGCGTAGTGAATGTTGCCCTATGGACGGACAACTTCTGAGATACTTCGCCGACCTAAACGGGGTTAGATCGCCGAAACAACAGCCCTTGGTCGGGTGAAACCCGAGTCATTCCGGTACGTAGAACCGGCTGTCGTGGGAATGTAGTAGAAGTGGCCACCCAAACAGACAGCTGCTTGCAGAGGAGCCCTCGCCTAGGCACGTCAGGAGGCATCTATATGAACTGACGGACGAAGTCCAGAGGTTCATTAAGCAACAACCCGACAGCGTACAGACAGGCCCTGAACGGCATTCACAGGGACTCAGTCTCGAGTTATGTAGACTCTCGACCTGTGAATGCCGTTCTAGGCATACCACCCCCGGACATTGACGAGACAGAGCTTCATCTGCCTCGGGAGACACGCACTACACTTGCTCAACTTCGCTCCGGCTACTGCAGCAGGTTAAACTCCTACTTGAGTAGGCTGAATGAGGATGTGCCGAACGAATGTCCGGCATGCGGAGAGACCCCACATGACTCGAACCATCTCTTCGCATGCCCGGAAAACCCGACTACCCTAACGGCCCTGTCCCTGTGGACAGATCCCACAGAAGCTGCACGCTTCCTAGGGTTGCCGTTAGTGGAACTTGACGACAACGACTGAGATACCAACCGATATGGGCGGGGTTGTTGTAGCCGCTACAACAACAACAACAGGAATTTTAACTTTCCATCGCTGGCAACTGTCAAGACAAAGTAATACAAGGTGGTGTTATTATATCAGCTAAGGCGAATTTATACAAGGTGTTGTTGGCAGAACAATAACAAACAGTGTCAGCAAAAAATTATACGCAAAATGGCAGCGAGAATTATCACTAATGTAGAACTAACACAAGAACTAACACATAATTTTGACATTTATAAGTACCGCGGCGAAAATGTTATTGGTGCGCCATCACCACCTTGTAAAAATTCGCTTTGATATATGTATAATAGATCAGACCTTCTTAAAGTGTGCTCCGCGGAACCCAAGGGTTCCGTAGAAAATTCACCGGGGTTCCGCGAAATTAATTTTGGAATGAATAAGCACGGCGGTCGAGCTCCGTGAAGGTGGCACCCGACCTTGATGCATTTTGATAAAATACCTAGAATATGATAGATTTAACTCTCTGGAGGATTGTAGTAAGTTTCATTTTGTTTGTAGTTGAAAAATAAGTGCGTAATGCGTTTTTTTTTAAATTCATATGAAGCTTTTTACAGCTACAGCTTCGATTTTATTGACTTCAGGTCCAGAATCGTTTGTAGTTGATTGTAGTTTTAAAATTTTTTTTTTTAGTTGAAAAATAAGTGCGTAATGCGTTTTTTAAAAAAATCATATGAAGCTCTTTACAGCTACAGCTTCAATTTTAATGAATTCAGGTCCAGGAGCGTTTGCAGTTGATTGTAGTTTTAAAATTTATTTTTTTAGTTGAAAAATAAGTGCGTAGTGCGTTTTTTTTTTTTAATTTATATGAAGCTTTTTACAGCTACCGCCTAAATTTTAAT